AAAAAAAAAAGGAAGAAAAAAAAAAAATTTAAAAAGATAAAAAATTGGAAATTACAATTTATCATTTTTTTTTTTTTTTTTTTATTATTATATTTAATTTGATAAAACTATTATTTGATTTAAATGTATATCATTTACAGAAATATTATATTTATTAAATAGTACAAAAAGGGAAAGAAATTGTCATAAGTTTGTTAATTTTATATATAATATTAATTATACAAATATTTCAAATGGATTTTTTAAAGGAACAATATAACACTTTTATGTTAGATCTTAAAAAGACATTTAGAAATACGAGAGATGGAATTTCACATGTATTAAATGTCATATGTTTATTATTAAATGCATTGATGATTTGGAAACTTTTAGTTATATTTACAGGTTTAAAAAAAAAAATAATATAATATTATTACTCTTAATATACAATATATATATATATATATATATAATTTAAATATAATACTTTTTTTTAACATTTAAGAATTTAATATATAAAATATATATATTATATTATTATATGCTTTTTATTTTGTATTATTTTAAAAGAAAACATAACACAAATTAAAAATTATTTCCTTAATAAAAATGCATTATAAATTATTTACAAATAGAAAGAAATATATTAATTATATTATTGAAAGAAATTTAAAAATAATACATAATATATATATGATAGACTAACTAATGAAATAATTTAAATATATTTATTTTATTTATTTTTTAATTAAGGTTGTGAATCACCAGTAGTTGTAGTATTGAGTGGAAGTATGGAACCTGGTTATTATAGAGGGGATACATTGTCTTTATATTATCCAAATAAAATACATGCTGGAGATGTTGTAGTTTATCAGATAAATGGAAGAGATATACCAATTGTTCACAGAATATTAAATATGCATGTATCAAAAGATGATAAATTTCATATATTATCAAAAGGAGATAATAATAATATTGATGATAGAGGTTTATATGAACCTAATCAATATTGGCTTGAAAATGAACATGTACTTGGTCTTTCAGTAGGTTATACTCCATATATTGGTATTTTAACTATATGGATAAATGAATATCCTTCTGTAAAATGGTTTATTGTTTCTGTTATGCTTCTAATGATACTACTAGGATATGAATAAATATATTAAAATTAAACAATTTTGTAAAATAAAAAATACTTTTAAGTAAAAAAAATTCTCTATTTTTTTTTTTTTTTTTTTTTTTAATTTTATCTATTTTAAAAGCTTAATTACATATTTTAAATTTTCATTTACTAATTCTTTTTTTTTTTTTTTTTTTTTTTTTTTTTTTTTTTT